TGAGTAATTGAGGGTTGCAGCGTGTATGCCACGAGGAGTGTGACTTCACTTGGCCTCCGTCTAATTAATCCCATCACACAAGCCTTCTGCCTTTAATTTTCACTTTGCGCGTGGCATCGTGAGGTGCGAATACAACTGGAAGTATAGGTTGGTAACTGTATATGGCATGCTGAGCCAGATGCACTACAAATGCAACCATATGGGTAGACACACAAGTGTTTCCATGTGTGTTTTCTGCTCTGGAGTATATTGTCAGATTTTGGAGCCATCATTTCAGCACAACAACTGTCCCACTGCTCTGATTTGATCTCATTCCATGCTAGGCCCCAAATCAGATACATGGAACTGTATCAATATGGTTTCATTAGCATACTGATTAATCAACTAGTTAATTAGACACATTTCCTATAGACTGATTACACCTCCTGGACCTCTTAGTGTGAAGACATATAGAGTAATTTAATTATTGTAACTCTCAGATGATGCATCATAAGTTTTTTGTTTTTTGTATTGTTGACACAAAATATTTTAGAGTTCTTGAGATAATGCATAAATGCAACATGTAGCAGAGACCAGAGGAACATTATATTCTGAGGTTAGTGGGCTTATATGCCAGCATAATAGTGAAAGTCAGTTGGAAAAACATGCATACAAATGCCATATTGTTTGTGGCTGAATAAGATCTTTTTGAAGCCTTGAATTCAGATTCTGAGCCTTTTACTTTCATCTGGAATGACCACATTTGGATCACAGGGTAGAACTGAGGAGCTTTCATCTGGCTGGCACAGCACAGCTGGCATTTTTGTAATTCACTCAAATACTAAGTAGTGCAATAACTTTAAGTAGGTAAAAGCAGGCTGTGAAGAAACTTTACCAAATCCCTCAAGTGTCTTTTATTACAACAGTCAACATGAAAAATTACCAAGTTATTACCCAAATAAGCCACACTCCTAAAAAGAAAAAATACAGTTTTAATTGATGGTTTTAAAAAAACATATCCATTCAGTTTTCATAAAGCTGTAAATGAGCTGAAGAAACCAAAACTGTCTGTATTGCTAGGCTGTGAATGCCTGTATGTCTGCCATAAAATCAGGTATTTTAACATGAAAGTCTATGAGTATCGACTCAGTTGTGAAGAAAGCCTCAAGTGGACATTGGAGGAATTGCACTTTTATGCACTTAAATGTTGGTGCCTGCAGCTCAGTCCTCACCTAAAGCACTGCTCTTTTCTTGAAGTACATGACACCGCCATTAAAAAATCTTTTCTGTAATTTGCAAATTCCAAAGGCCACTGCACAGCTGTTGTTGTTTTTAGCCTTTTAAATTGTTTTAACAGTTAAAGTTAAGTTAAATTAGCAAGTTAAAATGGTTAATATTGCATTAACTATTTTTATTCTAGGAGTATATTTTCAGTATTTTCTACAAATATTTTCCAAGGTGAGCACAAAGAAACCTTGCCTATTAATATCAACTTTTTTATGTATAAATCATACACATGACAGGGAAAGTCAAACATCCAACTTTTCAACGTCAAATGGCAACATTAATCCTACAGTTTGGGAAATATCAAGAAAATGCTTCTGTTTAATAAAAAGGACCAAATGTGATGTAATGCTTGCCCATCATCCACCCCAACCTCCACCATCCTTTCTTTCTTCCTTGATAAGTCTCACCATTTCTTGCACTGTACAGAGTGGTGTCGATTAATCCAGTAACCATTGAATTTCTGTGAATACTTTGGGGATTTGATCTTACTTCTTTCTCCAAGAAGCAATGATAGAAGTAGTACAATGCTCTCATGACACTGTAAAAGCTTTTTTGAGAGACATTTGAGATGACGCTATTGATGACATTGAAACGTAATATTCCTGTATAGCAAAACAGTTTAAAAAAACACTACCACTAAACATGTTAAAAAGGAATTGTGTGGAGCTGGCAGTCAACACAGGAAATTATTAATGCACCTATATTGTCCTGATCCCTACATGATTTGCTTGAGATGCAAATATTGCGGGTCATTTGAAACACAAGTGGAGATGGGCTGGACAGAAACGAATACTAAATGAATTCCATACAAACAAACTCTCCTCCTTTACAACTTGAACTCTTTCCCTGAGCTTTTGGCCTCGTTTTGTCCTGTAACCCACACTTGCAGCAGTGAGATGGAGAGGGTGCCGAATAGAGGTGTGATGGGTGCCTGCGCTGGCACCGCCAGGCTTGGGTGGCCGTGCAACAGTATCTGCAGGCTGCCATCCTTCTGTTCGCAGAGCATCTGAAGAAAGCAAACTGCACTGTTGCTCACACTCCCCGATCCCGTTGTTGTCATTGGCCGGCAGCCACCAATAGTGAGCCAACTGAGTTAACAGACACTTCCGCTCAGCACATAAGGAACCATCTGTTTTAAAAGCCAGAAAGAAATAAATAAAGTCCCCCCCTCTCTTTTCCTCCTCTCTCCCCCATTTACTCTTTCTAACACAAGTCTACAATATGCAGGGCTATGTTATTATCCTGCACCTCACTGTTCATCATTTGCAATCTACAGCTAGTTACCAAAATTACTGCTGCGACTAGACTGAATCTCGACTGCCCTTTATTGGCTTTTTAAAATTGTTTCTGAATGAAGGAGTAGCCTGTCAGAAAACTATTTTATTCCATCTGTTTTGCTGGTAAATAACAAAATTGTCTATTTGTTGTTTTTTTTTGCCTTCACTGCCATCCCATAATTCAGCACCAAATGTGGCATTGCAGCAGTTATCACACATGACTCATTTGTAATTTATTGGACATTAGCGAGGTCAGAATCATACTGAAGCCTGATGTTTGTAACATCTTGAAAATCACGGTTGCACGCCCGTCTTGGCTGCCATGGGCTCCTCAGACATGCCAGCTTGTAGCTAAATAAATATTGGCTGAGGGGCATTTGAAAAAACATATTGTCCTGGCTCAGCACTTGGTCCCCCTGCCCTCTGTTGCCAAAACAGGACAACGGGGGTCCAGAGCAGAATCTCTTTTCACATGAGCGGTTTGGTCAGCTTGCTGCCTCGACCTGCTCCTGCAGCCTTTGTGTCTGTGCCTACAGGTCCTCGAGTGTAATGTATTTACTCTGCTCTTCATCGTGTGGCTTGCGGAGGGGATCCTGGAAGCGTGCCATTTGTGCTATCACACTATGCCTATGTTTCTCATGTGGCTTATGAGGACAATGGTGCGCTTGTCCCATGTGTGTTTTGCAGTTTTTATGATAGCCAGAGATATCTTTGTCACTCCTATTTATGACATGTGTTTTGAGACTGAGCCTCAAATATGAGTTAACCACAGCGGGGTTTATTTTCCTGTTATTTTTAGAGTCTGTGTGCTTATAATTGTTCGCTTATTTTCACTTGGAATACATTTTACTATAAATGTTTTCATTTAACACCGAGGCCGTGGTCCTTTTTTAGTGTTATCTGATATTTAATGACAAGTGCAAAAAGAGTTATCATAGTGTATTTATACCTTTGCTTGTCTGCTTGATGACTCCCAAAATCTACTCCCAAACCTCCCTTTTTGCTGCACTTGCTATTTACTGTCCAACATTTCTCAAAACACACAGTTTCCCTCAGCTTTCCTCGCATTAGTCTCCACACTTAACCCTGAGCAGGAATCCAGAATAATATTAAGAAAAAATATTACTCTCTGTATTCAATTTAACTGGCGAATACCTCATGAATTCCTCTCTATCCAAGAAATTAAGGTGTATCGTAACAAGTGCATTATTTAGTAGATTTGACATGGCTGCCACATATTCGCCAAGAAAGAATTAACACGCCCGTGGAAAGGAAAGCAAGAAGAAGAAGAAGGAATCTAGTGAAAATAATTAATTAACACAGCCTATTTCTAGTCCTCCTCTTAAGCCTATTTAAAGGGCATTAGGTATTATGAATGTGAGGTGGTCTAAATTTACCCCGTATTATCTATCTTCATCTGACTACATTAGTATACTTTTCCAGGCTCCTTGCTTGCTATTTAAATCTCATTGCATGACTCTGAAATCCAGCCTCTCTTTTGCTTGTGTATTTCACACTCAGATTATTTTTCCCACCAAGATTAATCTCTCTTTATAGCAGCTGTGATTAGACTTACGCACCTGAAAACTGTTAAACTAAAAAAGATAAACCCGACATGAGTATTTGCTAAATGGGTGAAAGACGCCCGTAAGTGACTTCAAGAAATGAATTATGTATATGCTAAAGAGAACTCATTTGGGAATTAAGGAGGATAAGTAGCAGTCCATTTTGTGCCTGTTAGGGCCTACACTGGCTGCATTAGGGAGAGCTAATGGGCCCTGGGAGGGGGTGGGGGTGCATGGGAGGGGGTTGGACCCTTTGCAGCCCAAGGTCTCCAGGCCCCTGTGACAGATGGCTGGCCACCTCGCTGGGTGGCTGTGGCTACAAGGTCTGTCGTGAGGTTGATCTGTGGCGTTGACAGCGTCGCCGAGATCAAACGACATTGTGGAAGGTGAAGAGACGGGTGGCGTGCCAGGCCAGAGAGGCAGAGACGGTGTTAGGGCTCAATTCGGGGGTTTTGGAGGAAGCTGCCAGTGCTGATATTTTTAGAACTAACTCACAGATCGCTGATATTTTACATGTTTGCATACTACCTGAAAAAAAAAAGTCTTGAGGGATGTCTTTCTGTGAGGCTTAAAATCACAATACCCTAATGAGATAGTGAGATAGTACTAGCCTCTCGAACAGGCTGTCATGAAATACAATAAATATGCTTAACTTTTTGATGACAAAATAAGTTTCCAGGAATAAAGCTCAACTTTTTCTCAGTTACAAAGCATTTGATACACCACATGTGCATTGAAAAAAAAATATATCAGCTTGTTAGTCTCGGTAAGTGTGGCTGTAGGTATCGTCCATAGTGCTGCATTACCATCATCTAGCAGACCTTCTGAAGGTACTTCACGTAATCTTGGTAACCGGCTACGGGGGGTCCAGGTTTCAAGCTTGGCCATGATCCTATATTTCAGGTAAGTTCTTCTCGCACTCAACGATCCTTCTCCTATCGCACTTGAGGCTTGGTACCCAATCTCGGGTGGGGGTGATGATATCTCCCCCCTGACCAGGCTCCCCCTTGCCGTAGCATTTATGTTGTACCTCGTCAATCTCTAGCTGTGAGAGCAGTCCCTTCTTTCGAATGTTGGAACACTGAGCTACTAGTTGTTTCGCCGTCATTGTGGATGTTGGGTATCGAAGAATCCATAGGTCCCTCATCCTATTCATGTAACCTCTTCCGCCGGGGTTACTTGCGTAGTAGCATTCCAACAACGCCCTGTTTTCGTGTCGTGCCCACAGAAGAGCGCAGTCCTGGGAACAGTTAAGATACTGTGCAGGACCCTCAAGCTCCCAGGCCTCTGGTAGAGGACCCGAGCTTGAAGGATAAACCGCCTGCAGGGGCGGTGGTAGTTTTTTTTTTACACACATATATATATATATATATATATATATATATAGTCTGAAAAACAACTCTTTATTACATCGACAGTGAAAAACAGGAGTGTCCAATATCCAGTTTTTCATTGAGACGAAGTAGCCACACGCTGTGTTCTCATGTTTATTAAGACACCAACATTACAGCAAACAGCTTTCATTAGGTTTCATCAGACTCTGATCAAAGCTGTTTGCACAAACGCTGGTGTCTTCATAGAGTCTCAGAAATGAGAACATAACATGTGGCTACTTCACTTGGATGGAATGATTTCTTTTGCACAAACACATTGACTGTAGAGCAGTATGTAATATTCAGTGGGTACAGATAGTGGTCTACTGTGAGTTTTTGCTAACTTTTACAACTGACAGAATGGTATTTAGTTTAGGTTTGAATTAAGGATCTGTTTCGTTATACCAAAGTAGTTTCACTTATTTTGTTTACAGCATTATCATTTCTTGAATGGAATTCATGAGGAGCTTTTTAAATGGAAGAAAAGCTTTTCATGGACTCAAGAAAATGACTAAATTTAAAAAAAAAAATCATTTTTTTGGAGTGTTTTCATTGCTGTAAAACATGAACAGGATGTACTCCGTTGCACAGTAACATTTAATTACTCCTGAAATATGCCAACATCCTGACAAACAAAAGATTTAAAAGTGTTTCTACGATTCTCAGTGAAACGAAAGAGTTGATAAATCCCATTTTAAAAAGAGAAAGGCATCAATTCCCCACCACCAATGCCCCGTGGCACAAGAGGCCCGGCCTGTTAGGCGATTAGCCCGTCTTACATTCCGGGTGATCGGATTAGACGATTCCCACAGTCTAGTCTGAAACTACTCCCGACCCGCAGCTCCGGAGAGCATCTCAATATCCAATTTCACAGCTTTCTAAACCTGGATCACACAGGCTATTTATTACTGTCACAGTCTTTGTGTTGGGGGGGTGGAAGGGGTGGGGAGTTAGCTTTTGTGTTTCATCTGTTTCGAAGCAGGAAGATGATCAACAAGAGAGAGAGAAGCGTAATGAGTGAGGGACCTGTGGTGTTGCCTGAAACCTCCCGAAAACACAGGATCCTTGTTAAATTAGACAACAACCACGCTTGTTTCAGCAGTCAGCAGCTTCTCTGAGACCTTTGATCCGCACGCCGGCCCCGGTGACTGAAAGAAATTATGACCCAGGTTTGTGTGTGTGTGTTTGTGTCCTGCAGCACACTGCAGGGTGCTCTCTAATTGATTAAAAAAAAAAAGAAATGCAAGAGTAAAGAGTTGACTGTACTTTGAATTTAGGAATCACGACCTCTGAAGAAAATGAGGGTGTTTCAAAAACTTTTTGATTACTGCTCAGAATTGTACTCAGAAATGGTGATTCTGAACAGATGTAGCCAAAATAGAGCCTCCTAGATAATAAAACCATTTATAAGGCCGTCTTAAACTGGACCCGCAGCTGTAATAGGGGCCTCCATTATAGAGGCTTTATAATTTCCCTGCTTTTTCCTCTTAGAGCCTCTGTTGTTCCTCTGAATTACCTCTGAATGATTTATGCTCACTGGTCTGGCCACTGATAGACCCTGGCAACACAGATAGAAACACACTTAGGGCTTTTTGGTGTGTAAACACGCTGTATTAAAAGCCAACTTGTTTCAAACAGCCAAACACATTTGCTGCGACGGGGGCCACTCGGTGTCATTTCACTTGTCAAACACTGCAGTGTCACAGCCAATCAGGAGACTCCTGGGGCAGCACAAGCCATTTAACCTGAGCAAACACAGTGCGCTGTGAAGCCTGAGGATGACTTAAGAGCCTGAGCAAACACTGGCGAGAGCCATCGGGCACGAATCAAGGCAGCCTGGCTGAGGACAAGTCACTCTGGTAATGGGTTTGTGATGACTCAAGATCGAGCGGCCATCTGTTTGTTACAGTGGGGGAGGACCACAATTCACAGTTCAGATACACAGAATATTAGCCGGTAGTGCAGCAGAGGAGGGGAGGATTTGGCTGGTGGCACAGGATGTAAAGCATATGTCCATAAATGGTAAATATGTTGATAGCTGAGGCCCTGATTCCCTGAGTTGGGGCCAGATAACAGGATTTGCATGGCGATTTTCAGCCTCAGCGACAGAATGCCTTTAAAAGGTGTAAGACAACTAATCCTGCAAGTGACCTTCACACTATTCACGACATACAGGTGGAAAATGCTGCAGTGCTGTTGTCCCACCAGCAGCTCACCGCTCACATGGAAAACACACCACATATTTAAAGCACCAAAGTGTTTGCATTGGATTTCAATGATGGGACTTTGAATAAACCACAGTCATTTGTGTTCGGTCTGTAACCGTGAAGTTCATTTGAACAGTCAAACCACATACAGCCTCTGACGCAAAAACTGGTTCTCCTTGCACAGAGCTGCTCAGGGATAGTCCGCCTATGTAGTCCGGCACTTTACAGAAGGAATCTTACCTCTTGGAAATCCTTTAAGTGAAAGAGTACCATAATGTCAAGATACTTTAAACCCATCTTTGAATTAGTGAAATGCACTCAGTTAAAGTCCTGCTGTTAAAGTAGCAGGCCTGCACATTTTGGCATTCGATAAACTGCTGGGTTTTATATGTTACCGTAAACCACTGTATAGTATATAGTGTTTTACATCTATAAGGCATAAACAACTTGGAATCTGTTATCTTTAAATATAGATAGGACTGTAAATACATGTAGAAGGTAAAATCCTAGGAAAGGTACAAATACAAAGTACAAAGAATTATACTTGAATAAATGCACTTAATTTCTTTCCTCCACCATCAATTATAATGTCTACATGTTCCAATAATCTGCTTAAATTAAATGTTGGATTATATTTTCTTATGTGCATTTTCTTCTTAAGAACAGAAGTGTGGTGCTGAAATATTTTTGATAGAAATATTTACATTTGATTATAGTGCTCAGACAGTAAATACACACAGGATATAACTAATTATCTAAAAAGGTAGCCCCGTCTTCACCTCATTGACCTACTTTTTCAACACTGAACGAGCACTCTTTACTCCAGTTTAGTGGCATTTTAAGAGGAAAACCCAAAATAGAAGCGTCATTCATCATATTAAAAGCCGCACTGCTGTTTTTACTTTTGTATATGTCGGATTAGATGTTGTTAAATATCCTCGGGGAAGCAATCAGGTGTTTAAAGTTAAGGGCAATTCCCTTCCCTACAGACAATCAATAAAAAAGCAAAACCTAAGCGTGGGGACTTTAATAGGCTCGGCTTGTAACCTGCTCTGACAAATTAAGGCAAGTGGTGTTTTTTCATTACTTACACATCCGTTTTCATTTTTCAAATCAGTGGAACCAATTAAACAATGCTTCCTTAAATTAGTCATTGATTTTTAGCAATAGTGACACCTTACAAAAGGAAATGATAACTTTAAGGGAGTGTTGCTGCTTTTTTTGTTGCTGTTTTTCTTTTTCATTACTGCCAGCACCAGACACAAAAGGACAGAAACAATTCACCTACATGAAAAAGCGAGGTCTTAAATTAGCCATTGATTTTTCCTCAGGTGTCACTTTGGTTAAATGCTTTGTGATTGGGAGTTTTCTTTCTAACTTGGAAATTGACAAGAGTCTATAATCTGTTAGTCTACACACACACACACCTGCTATGGTGTTTTCTTTTCCCACTTCCACTTTGTAAATTTACGACCTTGTCGGGACAGACATGATAAATATTCAGCTTGATTGAAAAAAAAAAAGAGATTTATCGTATGTAAGGAATACATAAAACTGCCAAGAGAAGAAACACTGAAGCTCTTAAACTTTTCTTTATATTATGATCAATTAAAACATTTGAGAAGTGCTCATCACTTTGTTTTTCAGAACTATTTTATTACAGAATTTTTCCTATTGCCAATCCCATCCCACACACGTGAATCTTGAGAACAAAATTCAGAGTAATTTTTTTTTAATGCTGAAATTGACGGAAAAAAAAGAGACAAAAAATAAAGAGAAATCCCGAATAGCAGGCCATAGCTGCTGCGCTGTTTTTTTTCTTCTTTTTTTCCCCCTGTTGTCGTTTTCTCGAGACTAGAAAATACACTTACAATTTGAAGCAGCAACAAAATGTGCATTTACCTGATTATACAATGGAACAATTTAATATACCATGATTTTTATTCATCACATTATAAAACTCTAAATATTTCTTTTACGTTGTTTTTTTGTTTTTTTTTTAACCAAAAAGCAACCTATTAATGGCAAAGCAACAGTTTTTAAGCAAAATATACACCTCTCGTTCACCTGGAACAAAACCGAAAACAATTCAAGGGAGAAATTTGATTTTATATCTTTTTTTTTCCTTTTTATTGTCTGTGCCAATGAAATCAGATGTTTTTTTGTTTTTTAGCTGGGGATGCAAACATTATCCTGAATATGAACTGACTGGCTGCTGCAACCACTTTGACTGTACATACACTTTTCACCTGTTATCCATTGAAAAACTGAACACCTGAAGGACGAATGAGTGTTTTCTGCTCTGACGCATTACACCGCTGTTTACAGTGAATGACTTATTTTACAGCAGCCTGCAGCTTTGTCTTCGATCCTAAACGCAGGCCATTCACGCGTGACGCAGAGAAAGTATTTTTTTTTGTCATCCAGACATTTTTTTTCCCCGGAGTGCGTCCTTGTAAGTGAAAGTCTCATCTTTACTGACCCACAAGGTTGTTGAGCTGCTGAGGATCCAGTGGAGTTTATGTCATTACAACACCTACATGATGAAATCTACAGTCTGATTGGACGACGGGCGTTGACGGACAGAGGTGCGGTGTTCAGACCGGTGGCGAGGCAGTTCTCACTGATAGCTAAATGTCTCTTTTATAATCACATTACTTTTTCAAGTCTATAATCATGTCACTTCACCATAAAAGTATCGTTAACACGTTTCCAGTACAGGATGAAGACAAAAAGAAAGACAGTCAAACAAATGGCCATCTTTTGCGAGTGTCGATGAGACGGTTTCTTTAGCAGGAGATCAAAGTGACCGTAAATTAGTCCAGTCTCGTTAGGGCGGCACATGCTCAAAATCATAAGGACTTCAAAAAAACCAACCGAACAAACGGAATGATTCCCACATTAATGTACAAACATAAATGAGTAAAAAGCCAATCACATAGCTAGCCCCCGGCAGGCTAACATCGCGCCGTTCCGGTCCATAAAGTGCACTCTCCATCTTGCTGTGCGGTCAGAAAGACAAGAGCAAAAGGA